ATTTTTTGTATTTTAAGGCCAGGGCCGAGGTTGATGAGTTTATCTCCTAACTTAAGTAGGGTAGCAAAAAAGCAAAAAAGGTGACGTAAAGCTTCCCCTTTTTGTTTTTTCTGTTTGCCTGTCCTATAACATGGGAAATGTTTAAAATGTTGTATTTTGCGCTCCCAGTGCTCCTAGGTTGCAACTTCTCCTTATTAGAGCTTTGAAACTGAACTGAATTAAATTGTTGAGTTTCGACTTCCATGCTGATTAGGGACGTGAAACTTTTTTTGTTCTAATGTTAATACATGGGCAACAGGTCAATTTTTCCTAGAGCTCGTGAAGTTGTGACCTCCTAGAGAACCGCCTTTGTTTACGTTCTTGATTGGAGTTAGAATTGGAACTGGCGAAAGCGGAACTGTATTTACGCGTATATGAAGACATTAATGTCGGTTTTTCGGAAAAAATCGATGATGATGTTAAAAACTCAAGGATGAGGGAAACTCTGCTCTAATTAAGGGGATGCGCCCTTGTGCTACTTAGGTAAGTCTAGAATTGAATGTTCTTCATCTATAATCAGTTATAATCGATTATTTTTGAGTTTTAGAAAGACGGACTATATATAAAGCATAGTTAAAATTATTGGTATTAATCCATATGAAACTCCAGTGAACTTACAATTTATGACATCCACTAGCCCGAAGACCATGTTAAACAGTGCGCCCAGAAGGGCACCCGAGAAAAACAGCAGTTTGTTCCACTCGGGTTTCACCACGAACGGCAGCAGAATCGAGAAGAAAAGCATGGAAAAGTCGAAGCAGCCGGTGATGGCCCCCACGAGTAGCTCCGACACACCTACATGTGTAAAAAAGTGCTTTATTGAAAAATCAGGATCCAATTGTTAAGTAGATAAAGAGGTTTCGACCAATCAGATTGCAGCAAAATTCGAATTTTAAATACAAACGCTCTAGTTCTAATTTACTGCTTTTGTTTATAGGGATGGAAATTATTTAGTTGATACCAAAAGGAGGGCGATTGTTAAGTAGATTCAAAAATCATAATAAAAAGTTTGCTATTTTGATACCATTTTCGTAAAAAGCAAAACCTTCACAAAAAAGTAAATTCTCATAGCAAGAACTCTCTATAGACGCCTAAAAAACTGTTTTGTAAGTTTTAATTTGAATTCAAGTTCAATTTTTAGTTCTCTTTTAAAGTTATATTGAATTAAAGAACAAGAGTGAGGAAAAACTAATTCATTCACGAGGTTGTCAAAAAATTGTTTAAATCAGCTCGAAATTTTTGGCTATGGCACATGCCTGGAATTTAAGATTTGGATATTTTAAACAGATCCAACGTTTGTCTGTTTTTTTCTTGGTACAGAACTCATGGGTCACTGATTCAAATTGTTGAATGTTTTTTGGCAACACGAATCATGGGTTTCAGCCAGACGTATTCATCAATGATTTGGAGTGTGTTTTAATTGTTGAATGATATTTTTTGCCACAATGGTTTCAAGAGTATCTTGACGGCATAATTGACCTTTTTAATTCTCTGGTGGTTTTGATTTTTGGTTAGAGTTTTCTTTAATCCAAAATCAATTATCAGTCGCTTTCTCATTTATGGATCCCTTCTTTCCGGTTTAGTAATCAAATTGTACAAATTTTGTTTTTCCAATTTTATTTTTTTTTCAAGCTAGAAAACAAGAAAAGCTAACTAGTGAAGCAAACACGAGGTTGTTATGTCATATGAAGTGAATTTTGTTTAAAAACCCCATTCTAGTCGAACGCGCCCTCTATCCAACTCAATAGCGGATTTAGCTTGGGGGGAGGGGCTGACGCCCTTCACTCTCGGGGATTTGACGCCCTAAATACTGAAAGGGTGCCCCTTTCGGTACTATTTTAAGACCTCTATTTATGGCTGCAAATTTTACAAAAACTTGACGCGATTCTTTGGATCAAAACTGTGTTAAAGTGCCTAAAAGCGCGTTTTTCACCTATTTTGTGGAAGAGCTCAGGAAATAAATATCGCCGGCCTAAAAAAGGTCGATATAATTTTCGAAAACTTTTCGAAAATCCCAGCCCGCTCTCCCCGCCTTAAGAAAATGCTAGACCTGCCTGTGAGTCGATCAGATAAAGATTGAAGTCATTAAGAGTGACTGTTCAAAAAGGGACCCTTTGGGCGGTTTCCCATCACGGGGTCGAATTCCTGAAGAGGGCCTCCTAAATTGTCTCCTGAGCTTACCTTTATTCAATTCTGCTTCATTAGGAAAGAATGGTGCGAGTTGAGATAAGTTGATTCCGTCCGCCATGTATATGAGAATAGATAGCCCAAGCGCTACAAACAGCTTCGCAGAAGCTACGAACTCTTCGGTAAAAATCATTTTGGAAACAAAGTTTTATAATTCTCTTTTTCTTTCTACTCAATTGAATTTATTTTTTTTGAAAGCTACACGATGTACTTATTAAAACAGTTCATAATTCAAAAAGAAGCATCAACTTTCTTTTGTGAGTTTTTTCTTACCAATTAGTTTTGTTTTAATGAGTTCTATTTCTAAGCCAGTGCATGTATTAGCTTGCTATTTTTTTGAACAAATGTACTTAATTGATTGAAAGCTATGCATATTTTTGTTAGACTTAGAAAATCAAACTTCATGACGCGTGTGTATAAGAACTATGATAAAAATAAACAAGTTTGATTATTTTTTTCTATAAATCAGTTGAGCTCTAAATCAGATCTTTAAATCTGCCTACAGCGTCAATTTTTTCTCAAGAATTGGTAAGAAAGAAATTGAGCTCAAAAAAACCCACACGCGTCCAATTTCAAGCGCTAATAATTGATTATAAAATAATTTCAGAACAAGTCCTAATAAAAAAAGAAAAAAACGCAATTTTATTCAATCAATAATTGATAATAATCTCTCTTTTGGAATCAAATTATAATCAATTAAAAAAATTTAATCAATTTTAATCCTATATACATTTAATCCATCTATTTTTTGATCCAATGTTTGTCCAATTTGTCCTTGACCTTGCATGTGACTGCTCATATTTTATAATTTTCGTAGAATTAGATTTATGTATTTTTAGAGTTTTTAATGTCAACTCAAATTTATTAATTTTCTTTCATTTCTACATTTAAGTTTCAATGATGCGCATTTTAAGTTTTTATAATCACCAAAATATTAGCACTTCAGTTTCATGATTAAAAGATTGATTATAAGATTTTGTTGCATGAACTATTTTCAATTATATTCGAATACTAGTAGATTATAATCTATTTGAATATATCACAATTGAAATCGATTTAAAATCCTTTAAACACCTAATTTTGGTAATTATGATAAAATTTCTTGTGAATAAACCAACAAAATAATCTGTTATAATCGATTACTTTTGCCTAAATTTTGATGCTGGCAACATTTCAGACACATCAGTTGGGTTTTACCGCCTTGTTTTTTATTCAATATATCCCAAATTTTTTCTGGAACAATTTATTTGCATCTTTATGAGTTCGGGTATTGTGTTCAAGTGGCAAGGGTCATATTTTTTGAAGTCTTGGAGTTGAGGATCAAACCATAAATGTTTGCCATGTTTTTTTTTGAAAGAGTCAGTTTGGCACTGTAAACAGAAGTGGGTTTAGGGTAACGCTCTTTCTTTCAGTGATTTGACCCCATTGACACCTAATGTGTCCCGTTTTAGATGTTTTTATTAAACATCCATTTTTAGGTGGACTGACATTTGGCGTGAATTTATAAATGTCGTCATTTTCGGCGTGAATTTTCTAGTTTAATCAATATGGTATGTTCAATGAGCTCTATATTGCTTAAGCCAATCAAAAAATCTTAGTTAACTTCGTGCAAATGTCAATGCATTTGAAAAAGTGACTAAAAACTTCGTGCAATCTATTTCAGATAAGGAAGCACTTTAAGGAAGGATGAGAAATTTAAAAAAATTTTAGGAATAAATTTAAGGAGAAAGGGCTAATCAGAGAAAAAAAGACTTCTGAAAACCTAATACTGTATAGCTGACCGGAATAACCGACTCTCAAATGAATTATAATTTGAGAAGAATAAATGGTGATATGTTACAATAGGTGGTAGCTTCGAGAAATGTTGTACGTTTCACCACACACACTCACATTTCGCCTTTCTCAAGTTTAGTGGAACATTTCGCTCCTCATAACTTCTTACATTTCGTCTTCACACGTTTCGCCCGCTAACTTATTACACAATTAATGAATAGCCGCTTTCTTAGTTGAAGCTTTGCGGGGCAAGTGTGTGGAAGCGTTGAAATGTGTGTGGACGAATTGTGCCAACAAATTAATGTGGGGAAAAATAGATGAGGGGTAAAATGTGTGGACACCCATTGACAACTATTTGAGTCTTGTGCATCTATTAAATTTATGAACTATATATAGTTCATAAATATAATGCATGCACTAGACTCAAACAGTCCCCAAAAATAGATTTCATTTTCAACCAATTGTAATATGCTACTGAAATAATTTTTGCAAAAAAATTACTCTACCACATGAAACATCACTCAAAATTTCAAAAAAAACACCTCTTTTGCCAAAAAAAGTCTTTTGAAATAAATTTTAAGTATTGCTCGAAGTATAAGAAAGAACGGTCTAGCAAATTAACTTAAATCTGCCACCTATTGTAATAATCTCGGAAATCATTTTACTTGCTGATTTTGCTGTTTTTTTTGTAAAAGTTAATTGATTCAAGTTCATTCAAACAATAACCCAGATTTGCGCAAATTATGATAGACATCAAATAAGAGGTCGTCTTTTTAAATGAATTCTGCCCAAGAGGAAAATTAAATAAGCTCTAAGCAAAGGCCTGACCAGTGGGAAACGATGTTCTAGAAAAAAAATTGTTTGGTAAAGCTTTGGTAAGTTTTTTACTTTAAGTATTTGTTACATAAATTTTGTCGTATGTTCATGAGTGTTCAAATGTCATTTATTTCTGACTTTCGTTGCAAAAGTAAAGGAATATTGGTGCTCGGAGCGGATTTTTTGTTTTGTTTCGTTTTCTTAACTAAACTTTTTTGATAGAAAATTTCTTATCATTCAAAAATCATTGTTGTCCTGAGCTTAAAATTGCAAAGATTTTCCCCCTGTGATCAAACGTCAATACGAAATTTAAAAGTTGAAGACTGAGAAGATATTTCCCCTGTGATCAAACGTCAAAAAGAAATTTAAAAGTTGAAGACCGTCAACCATTTCTTGAAACCATTCAAAATGGTTGACGGATCAAGCAGTCACCTGGAAACTCAAATTGAAACTGCATCGCAAACAGTCACCGGGGTCGGTAACTATAAATCAACCGTGTTACCATGACGGTTGGAGCGTTTTGGCTTAGCTGACTGCAAACCAGAGGTGACATCAGCGCACATCAGCGCACAACTGTTAATGAGGGACTGCCTTGAAGTTGGACCAGTAGAGGCAGTGCCCATAATGGTGGAGGACTTCTGAGACATTGTGCTATTTTGAAATTCATAGCTGATAAACATGGGCGGAAGCCTCAGGTTTCTCTTTCATCTGAAATTGAGCAAAAACGGGGAATTATTCTACACCTGATGAATTAAAAGTCTACGGATTCGTAGAGGCTGATTGGGCTGGAGGAATGGATGATTGAAAGTCGTCAACTGCTGGCTACTGCCCTCATTTGAAGAAAGCAGAATTGCAACTATTTGGCAGCCAAAACTAATTGGCAGCCATGAAGCAACCAAGCGCAGCCAAAACTAACAGTGAAGCTGAGTATCAAGCGATGGAAGCAGCTACTCATGAGGCTCTTCATTTAAGATCATTAATCAATGAGATGGGTGTAACGAATGAAAAGCCAACAGTCATCGAGAAGGACAACCAGAACTGTTTCACTGCACCAACATCTCCAAGAGTTTTGTCATAAACAAGCAAATTGATTTGAAGATCCATTTTTTTAGAGCGAGGTCAAGATGAGTAAGTCAAACAGCAGTATTGTTCTACTGAGATTATAGAAGCTAAATTATTGACAAAATTGCTGAAAAGACAAAAGTGGACATATTTCCTCATATTTTTAAGGGTTGCAGCTTGATATTGAAAAAAGCCGTTTCAATCTGATAGGAGGTGCTAAGGTCAGAACTTTTGAAGGCCAGATAGATTAGGTGAACAGAATCCGTTTGAAGATCAAAGCTGATGGAACTAGTAAAAACTAATTGAACTCAAACATGGGCAACTAGTGAGCACAATTAATGAATTAAACAGTAAATAAACAACGGGTACATTTGTGATGATAAGTTTGCCAAGCTAATTTCATTCACTTTCTCAATTCCTTCTTCGCAACCATTTTCTATTTTCTATCCTCAGCTTAAACCTCATAATAAATCCCATATAGACACTCAGACTCCCAGTTGCTCTAGCGCTGAACCTTAACAAAAAATTCTGCTGGCCCGGTACAAAAAAAATGTTTCAATACTGTCCTTAAAAACGGTATAGTGAAAAAAGCGAAAATTTACGAAACAAAATTAAACCGACTTTTATTTTGTACAGAAGTGAAAAATATTTACTATACGCACAAGAATTGAAAAAAAATTAATTGACAAAATTGTCTTGACACTCAACAAGAAACTAACTGATGAGCATGCTAACTCATTCAAACAAAAATCTGATTTTTCATTGCTTCTTTTCCAGGTTACATCACAGTTTTATTGTCGTGAAGTTCGTGTTCTAAACTGCAACAAAACTTTTTTTCGTAATACAACTGGAAAATTTTGTACATTTTGCACTTACAGAACGCCGCAAGAATACTTTTGAACATTTCAAAATATAAAACAAACCATGTAATAAAAAAAAGGATAGCCGGTTACTGTGCAAGTAGCACAGAATGTTCCGACCATAGTCTTAAAAACATACAACAAACTTTTTCAATTTATTTTCATTTTTTTTCAGCGTGGTATATTAAGTATATGAGGCACAAAAAACTGAGGATTAGTTAGATTTGACAACCATACTAAAATAAGCTAAACTAATAATTACTAGAAAAAAGAAAAAATTTAAAAAAAAACATTTTCGAAAGTACTTTGCAGTTTTTTGAATTTTTAAATTTTATGATTCCAAAAAGGCGTTAAACTTCTAAAAATAAACTAACGTTAACCAAGTGAAACTAAATTTTTATGTTTCAAATTAAGCTATTATAGGCTTTTAAGCCATAATAAGACTGCTCGCTCGCTTTTTTCGCTCGAAATAAGATGAGAAATCAAACATTTCAAACCGGTTTTTATCGACACTGAGAAAACTTTTTCAAAATTTTTAAAGTGTTTCGAATTAGGACTATAAGGGCTTTAATATGATATATCCATCAAACAAGTTCCATGGTTATTTGTAGTACTTGATTTTGCGTTCAAAAAAAACTAAAACACACCCGAATACAAAGTTATACTCCATTTTCAATGGTCGCAACTATTACCCTTTCGAATTCCTACTGTTAATGCTACATAGCATTAAAGTTGAAAGTATAGTATGAAGCCAGTATAGTTG